AACAAACAGGCAGGCTCAGGAAAACAGGACGTCGCTGTTCCAGCTACATGTTGAAATTACTATTTCCCCCTTCCTTGGGAGTTTGAACTTTAAGTTCAGACCTCGCTTACTACAACTGCCTACTACATCCATGTCAAACTGTAATCCTTTAGATGCATTTAATGCTCTCTATTTTAAACATGCCTTGTTCTTTATCAGTGGCTACAGAAGGCAGGTAATAAACACAAGGTTTGAACACAGCAGAGTGGGGTGGGTGGTTAGGACAGCAGGGAGATCACACTTCTAGATATGTTTTTACTAGATTTGTCAGAGTTTGTGCTGCTGTTAATTTTAGTTAATGCAGCTTTAAATACTGACTGTGTGATTGCACTAATAGAAAAAAGGTAAGTGTGGGCAGAGCTGGGTGGAGCAGCTAGTATGAGCAGGAACAGAAGGGCTGGGTATAAGACAGGGACAGTACGGGGTAGAGAAAGGACCAGGTGGTGACATTTTGACCCTATGGACTGTCTGAACTGTATATTTCTTTCCACACACTGAAATTTTCCTTTTTGTCCTTCCACCATCTTTACTGGTCACTCACTATGACAAAGTGAGTGAATGTGGACAAGTATTTTTTTTACAGATATGAGTAACTTTTAAGTTGCCATTCAACCAGCACTCTCTGACTTGAAACTGATCTCCACCTGCAGTTTTATCAACATTTTCTAGGCAAAGAGTTTTACTGACAACAACGCTGATTATCTGGTAACCACTGAAGTCTGTCCCCAGGTAGAGTACACCTGGGCAGGTCACCAGTCAGTCACCAGCCTGACCTCAAACAGTCAAAGGTTAAGGTCTTTTGTGGTTTAATGAGTTTTGAACACTGATTTAAATAAAGACAGCTGTTTTTTCTCCCAAATGCAGCTCTGAGATCAGTTTTGATAAATGCTTTATGTATTTCATTCTGTCTTCAGGAAGTGTTTCTGTTAACATAATGTGCTCTGAGAGGGCTTTGTGTTTGTCTTCGTCTTTGTGTTTCTTAAATCAACTCATGGACTCAGTGATGAGTTTGTAGGTCAGCAACAAAAAGTCCTCTCGTGTCTCCGTGCCAGCCGGTTCTGGCTGCTGCGCTTTTACTTGGCCTGCTAAAGTTTAACTTTACGAACATCACTAGTGGCCTGGTCTAGCTCCTGTAGCCAATCAGAAGGCAGAGCAGGACAGAGGACGAAATGGAGGAGCCTCTCAGTCTGCCGGCCATCGCTCCAGTTTTTACCTACAAACAAAAAGCTGAGTGTCAGGTTTCTGCATCACTCTGAATGCCTTTGTGGATGTGTGAAAGCAGAGCAGAGCCCAGACATGATCCAGATCTCTGAAAATACAATTACTAGAACAGACAAAGACTGGCTGACTTCAAACAGACCTACAAGAGTCAGTGAAGATAAAATCACAAAGAAAACAGCTCCTTATCTGCAGCAGAAATATCATCAGACAAAGACTTGCTGTTCTCACTTTCAGATTTATTCTGAACATTTCATCTTGGTGCTTATTCTGAAATGAACTTTCAACATTAACTGACAACTGAGTGTAATAAAAGTGTGAAGTCCTATTAGTTCCACCTACAAGCTGAAGGTTTATGAATGAACGACATCCTGATGATTAGTCTTTTCTTAGAGTGCCAACAGTAGTGGAGCCGAAAGTGTTGGTCCTGAGAGTGGCACTTGCAGAATGATCCAGCCATTATCTATTCCACTTATCCTGAAGAGGGTCATGGGGTGGGGGTGTTGGGTTTACTGCCTTTGCCCAAGAATAAAATTTGCTAATTTGCAATGTTGTTTTTTTGCTAGTGCTTAACACTGATAGAAAGCTTTTGAGGATGGTAGCAGACCATATTGCCACTCCTGTTTGTCATATCTGCAATCTGCACATCACATCTGCACATTTGGGACAACTGTGGTTCAGTGGGTAGAGCAGTCGTCTCCCAACCAGAGGGTTGGAGGTTTGAATCTTGGTGCCTGCAGTCCACATGTCAAAGTGTCCTTGGGCAAGGCACTGAACCCCCAAGTTGCCCCCAGTGGTTAAAGCCATCGGTATGAGTTGGTGCCGCAGATGGCTGCCTCAGTTCTGTACTGAAAAAAAATTCCTTGTGTGTGTGTAACATATTTGACCAAATAAATTTGATTGATAAATAATGTTTTTCCTCAAACCTGGAGAGAAGCTAACATCATCCAATTACCTAAAAATACCAGGGAACCTTACTGGCTCGATGTGTCAACCAATTAGTTTATTACCTGTGCTGAGCAAACCTATGGTGCATTACTTTTTACTATTTTTACTTATCATTTAGAACTTGTTTTTGAAAAAGCCTGTGTAGCTCTGTATGCAGATGATACAACTATATATACATATGCTTATACAGTTGATGAAATCACTCTAACCAGGCTTTTTATTTGGTACTAACTATTCTCTGTATTCTAAACTGCAACTGAATTTGACATTGAAAGATGTATGTATTGAGCAGGTAGAGGGAACGAAGCTTCTTGGTGTTTTTCTAGACTGTAAATTGCTGTGGACAAAACACAGATTCTCTTGATGTAAAGATGAGAAAGAATATATCTGTTATGAACACATGTCCTGCTCAAATAGGCAATGCACAAAATAAAGTTAGTTTTAAAAGACAAAACAACATTCAGTGGTCATACTACTGCAATGTTTTTACTGACCTGATGAAGCCTCTTGGATGAGAGGTGAAATGTCTTTGACCTAAAAACCTAGTCCAGTTGATTTTTCAGCTTCATCAATGTTAGGCAGCAGAAACACATTTGTCTATGTAACCGGTGGGTTGGCCATGCATATATCATGTATATATGCATTTGTTGTGTTAATCACAGACATACATACCACCCCCCGGAAGCTGCTGCGATGAGTAGTTACTGCTGGTCGCTGCAGTGAATATTTCAGAGTGAAGTCTGATTTCCCTCTGTTGTTGACCTGTGTCCTACTTTCCTCTGAGGTGTGTTTTCTAATTGACTGCATGTTAGATTTGTTGCTGCGCAAAATGTTTATTCAGTTAAAATCTTTATACATTGCAGGGGTGCTTCTCCATGGCTGACAACTGATTCAAGTGCTATCCTGTAGGAACTGGCATATGTTGTGTTAAGATGCCACAGTGCATGAAGCAGCCAAGGTAATTTTCAGCAGCTTTTGTTTTGTTTTGAATCTTTTTGTTTTTATTGAATGTGGTTTTACTCTTTGTAGGAGCAATAGCCACTGGCACTTTGCCTAGCATGTTTTCTTATGTCAAGAAGCTTACTTAAATTTATCTCATATTTATTGTGTTGCTCAGGTAGTTAGGGTTGGGTCAGTTTTCTGGTGTATGAGTAGTAGATAGATAGATACCTTTATTCAGGAGGGACAATATTCTTTGGGATTGGGATAGATTTATAGACTTATACAATTGTGTGTTATGTAAATAATATGTCTGTCTTTTAAGTCAAGAGCTGCCGGAAAAAATTTCGTTGTGCTATGTATAATGACAATAAAGATTCTTGACACTTGACTCTTGACTTGACTCTACACTAAATCTTTTTAACTGTGTCTGGGTTACCCAGGCCTGTATATTGGCCCAGTCACATCTAGACATAATACAAATTTTGTTGGAACAATCGCCTGTATTAATGTCACATGCAAATGAGAATCTATCTGTGTGTGCAGTGCAACAGAGGGTCAAGGTTCAGCATCAGTGTTTTCAGCAAACACCCCGGCTTGATTCATTAATTGAGGCAGAAATGATGACGTGATGTCAAGTGCAACAATGAATTTTCACATCGCAGCACAATGTGGTAACTAGTTTTATTTTGCCATTTACAGCTCAGCTGTTGTCTCTCAGCGAATCCGGTCCTGGTTTTGTCTTCACCCCATGTTTTTCTCTGATCTGTTCTTTCTGGACTTTTTTTTAGCAAATGTCAACCCACATCCAGTCTCCAGTTATTTTGGGATTTTCTTCAGCTTCACTCACCACAGGTGTATCCACTCACTTTAGTTCCCTTGTCAGTTGTGTCTGTTCATTACTAGGTTGTCTGTGTTTGCCTTAGTGCTTCTCAGCCCCAGTATTCTTGCTACCAAGGGTTGTTTCACAGAAGCATAATTAAGAAATCCAGGATAACAAGACAAAGCAAGGCTAGACCTATTGTGGTAAGTGCATCATGACTTAATATATTTCATAAAGGCTACGACAGTTTGAAGAGGTGCAGCTAGGTGAAACCAGGTAATTCTGATGAGTGTGTATTCACGGTTTTATTTACCAGATCACAAGGATGATCACGCATTCACTGATGCTGACATAGAAGCTGTGTTCCATTTGCCCATGCCGCTTGTTAAATAGTGTCATTAAAATCAAATCAGCACTTATTTATATAGCACTTAAACACAACTACAAATCGACCAAAGTGCTTTACACAAAATAAAGCAAAAGCACCAATGCACAGATCTGAAAAGAAGTGACATCTCTAAAATAGTTTCCTCTTACTTTACATAGGTGTGACTAAGGCACAAGTGAGGGAAGCGTGGATGCAATTAAGGAAACTGGGATGTGCCCAGGACATTGACTCCTTTTGGTTATTCCCAGCCGGTGTCTTATGATATTCCTTCATTAAATATAATTACTACTTCCCTAATTAGGACTTGCACCACGTTATCTGTTGTTCTTCCTTGAATCCATGTTGGTGATGTAGTGTGTGTGCTACTGAAGCACCTTAAAGTAAAATACTTTGATTTGCTCTTGTGTATAAAAAGTGATGAAGAAAGAAGGTGCCTTGCCTTAAAGGGAAGTTGTTTACCATTTACCAGTACTCCCTTCTGTGTCCCGGTACTGTTGTGTACATTTTAAGCACAGATGTCGAGGTGTTTCTAAGTCATTTAATAAATGAGGCCCCAGGTGTTTAGAAATCTCTTTATGCATTAAAAATAGACTAAATGGTAACATTTTGACAAACTGTTTAATGATGAAGCAAAAGAAAAAACAAAATAAATTATAAAGGTAGCAGTAACATTGGATTTTAGCAATGAAAGAAAACATGATGAATGTTCCTGCTGCTGTTTTTGTTTCACCAGTTTAATTTAGATGTTACTTTAATTACCATGTTCATCTCACATTGTTAACTAACACAGCCTAATTTACTCACAGCTTGTTCAAAATACATTATTTAGGCAATTACACTTAAATGCAACTACATCTGGTTAATATACTCACAGCTTGTTAACATCACATTTAGTTAACTTACCCCTACTTGTTAAGTGAAACCTTGTCTAGTTGATTTACCCACAGCTCATTGATATTTCAGCCAAAATAACCACTTTCATCTTCATCTCTCTTTGGCTTTCTTCTGAATCTTCTCAGCTCAGACTTTGATGTTGAGACAACACTTCCAAGAATGTTTATATAAGTACTATTTGGTTCCAGCGGATGGTCGAGCAAAATTTTTTTCCCAAGATTTTTTAGTGGCAGGAATTTTATGCAAGTTGAACCTTCAGTAAACAGAACATATCAAAAGTGACTCATGTTTTCTATAATAGAAAACAATATTCGAACAATAGAAAATGACAAACACATAAATGTAGACATATAAAGGATTACTTTGCAAGATCTGTTGCATAGTATTCTCAGATCATTCCAATGTGGAAAAGAGTCTCTCCCATTAAGAAATACAATGCTTTGTCACTAAACATAAACACTTTACTGTTTGGGGAAGTGCTGATCTGATGTTTTTACTGCAGGAGCAGTTTTTTCAAAGTATTTCTGGTGTCTTTAAGAGTGTTTACGAACAGCCACACTCCTCCACAATCATGTTCTGGATATCTTTCTTGATGATTTTCTGCTCTTCGTTGTAATAGAGCATTGACATGGCACGTAACCTCGTTGGCACGCAGCATGACTTGATGTTTTGAAAGGGGCTGTAGCCCCTCATGCGATAATGATTGATGACTGTTGAATGGAAGGAGAGGGATGAACCACTGAGGCTCACCATGTGGTTTGGACAGTCACCTTCACAGTAGTTGGCATGGTAACCAGAAGGGGCAATAATCCAATCGTTCCAGCCAATATCTTTAAAGTTCACATAAAACTGTCGTTTGCAGCAGACTCGCATTTTACCGTCACACTCCAGACCTCGCTTGACTCGTCGCTGCATTGGGTCCTCTCGAGTGCGCAGCACCACCACAAGGAATGGCCGGTGAGACTGTTCTCTGCCTGTGGCTAGCTTGCCGTTGACAGGTGTCAGGACCGGAAAAGCTCCAGCCTCGCCACACAGTGGACAGGAAACCCTCAGGCTGAGTGAGCTGCTGCTGACATCCAGCAGAGTCTGAACATTGTGAGGGATGGTGAGAGTGTGCCAGCCACTGCGACGAGTGTCCACCAGCTTCTCTGAAATACACTCTTCTTCATGTTCATAATGAAGCTGCAGCAGCCGCAACATTACCTTGCCCTTCACTCGGTTTCCTTTTGACATCTTCAGGAAGATCCAGACATTTGCCTGTTCCACCACTGATGAGTCGCCAACTTCCTTTGAAATGTCAAAGGTTACCATGTTTGGAGAGTTACCTGCAGCAGAGAGCACAGTTAGCACACTGGACCGCACTGGATTCTACTGGACTGTACTGGTCTTCATTGGACTATAATGGCTTCTATTGGACTGTACTGGTCTCCACTATGTGAACCTTTCCACTGAACTGGCTGTTTACAGATTCACGTATAAGAACATGAGGAGCATAACGTTTAGAACTTTGTGTCTTTATCATTTTTCTTTTGTTGTTTTTACTGTGAATTGTTCTGAATTTCGCATAATTTAAAATAAAGTTAAACAGTAAACCATTGCACCAGTGTCCAAGTTGATAAATAATTTGTTGGAGGTGCATGGAGGTCAGAGACCTGCTGTTGTTTCTGAAGCAAATAATCAAACTGAAAAAAACCTGGGACCTTGCCCGCTTCTGTTTTTGTCTTCCTACCATTTGAATGAATTAAAGAAAATGCCATGAACAATATATGCCTGAATACAGTTGCTGCCTCTAAATATACTCAATATGTGCAGATACACTGTAAAAAGCAAAGGCCTGATTTCAGGGAATGCTGTTAACAAGGCTGCTAGGAGACAACCCTCCACCATCCCCCACCTTCCCAACTAACCCTCATCCTGTTCTGTGTTTCTCCCTTTGTCTCCTGCTGCAGAATAATTACTGAGGTCCACATTTGTCTGAATGCGATTATTTACGGCCCGAGACTATTCGGTATGTCCACCACCACCTCCTAACCCCACTCGTTACTGTCCTCTAATTTCGGTGAGCCTTTGAGGGGCCTTTTTAATTAAAGATCTTTTTGAGAGAAACTATTTATAGCACAAAGCAATTATGTACATTTATGTAAGCAAACAAGTGTAGAAACTGATTGGTCATGGGCTGCCTCACATTTACAGAAGCATCATCAGCATCAATTTTAATAACTGAAGTATAAAAACTTTTATCTCAGGTTGAAGTGATTAAAATTAATGTCTGGCAGCAGACTGTAAGTGATGGGAAAGAAAATGTTGAAAATCTCTGTGACTACACTACTGTATTAAACAATATGATGACAAATGTCTTTGTTTGATTTAACAAAAGAATAGGTGAATAGTTTAACCTCTTCATGAATCAAGTGTTTCACCTTCCTGAAATTTAACTTCAAATTTATTGTTGTTGTTTTCTCTGTCAGAGTTTAAGGAACACTGAACTCCATCAGTAAGGACAATTAAGGGCATGTGTGACATGAGGTGTTGTCTCTACTCTGAGTTTCATGTGGGTCTAGGGGAAACTGGCTTTAACCGGTTGAGTGTGGAGCCTCTTCTGTTCTGATAACATGTTATATGATCAGTTGGGATCTGTTTCTTCAGTATGAATTTGACTTGCATCTCTGTATGTACATTTCATGCACTCTCATTTATGGAGACAGCTGTGACTGTTTGAGCTTCTCTTCTGAAACAGTTTCTTCATCAAAACTGATCAGTTAAAAGTCCTCTCGTATGACTTTAAATAAGAATTTATACTCTTAAGAATGAGTTTTTGTGCTTTCATGTCATCACCTCAATGAAAAGAAATTAAACTGAGATTTAAAAGAGGTAAAACAGTTTAAAGCTGGTTTACTCTCCAGCATTTAGATGTGCTAATGATCTCCAACTGGTGAGTTAAACATCATCAGTGTCGGCTTCAGTGGTACAGCTATGATGGAAGAATTACTGTGAAGGCTTTTATTGTTTCACTATTGAAGATGAGACTGATGCTGCATTGATCTCGCACATACACTCTACGGATTCAGCCCAATTAAGTACCTGACTGATCAACAATTGATTAGCAATTGGACAATCAGTTGAAAATCTGGCAACTCAGGAATGTAAGTTGTCTGTTTGACAGTGGTTTGAATTTCAAACACGGCTGCTTTCAGAGGACGCTTTAAAGGCTTGTTCCATCCGACACGAGTTAGGCCTCGGCGAAAACGACACGGCAGGAGAGCAGGACTGCACGTCAAGCTGAAATCTGTTCTGAACCTGTCACAAGGGATGGGATACCTCCGGGAGCATGGCTACGTCCACTCGAGATGGTCTTCTACCTTCAACTACCGCTTTCTTCAACTAGAAGGCCTAGATGCAGACCCGCCTCTTCCACATTTTTGTTTGGTGAGACGCTCTACCCGACGTTGTCTTCACTTCAGTCTTCACCCAGTGTCCCGCACTGTGTGCCCCCCGGTCCAGCCTGGCTTGCTCCAGTTCGCCCTGTTTAATGTAAGATCACTCAATAACAAAACTTTTATTTTGAATGATCTTATCACCACTCACGATCTGGATATGCTTTTTATCACAGAAACTTGGCTCAAACGAGGGGATAACTCTCTGTTTTCTGAGCTTTTACCGGCTAACTATTTATTTTTTAACTCCCCACACCATGCTGGTCAAGGTGGTGGCCTGGCATCTGTTTTAAGCCAACTTTAAAATGTCGCCTCCTGCCCTATATGGCCTTTTCTAGCTTCAAGCTTCTAACTTTTGTTTTATCGCTGCACTGCCCTATTTTATGTGCAGTCATCTATCGACCTCCCAAATTAAAGGATTTTATCCATGAACTTGGAGAGTTTTTGGCTGCTTTTACTTCACAAGCTGATTGTCTGTTGATCTGTGGGGATTTTAATCTTCAAGCTAACTCCTCGCCCGACCACCTTATAAATGATTTTAATGCTCTGTTGGACTCCTTTGACCTTTGTCAGTCAGTAGTCTGTCCCGCTCACACACGGGGGGGCACATTAGACCTCGTCATTTCTCAGGGTCTATCTGTTAATATTAAGGATGTGGCAAATATAGCCGTATCTGACCACTTCCTTATTCGTTTTGAAGTCCCACTACCAATAAGGCTGCCCAGACCGGTGGCCCCATGGCTGCATCGCAGGATTATTACTTCCTCTACCCCCTCCGACTTCACTGCTGCGTTTTTAGACTCTGAATTCTATTCTTCAGTGGATCAAAATCCTCCGATGTGCCCTGAGGTATTTCTCTCCTCACTGAATTTGACTTGTGCCCGGATCATGGACTCCGTTGCGCCTCTTAGGATGAGAAGAGCTGGCAACACGACTACTCCTTGGCTAAATGACACTACCCGGGCAAGCCGAGCACAAATGGAAAAAAAGACCCATTGCACGTCTCGCTGGATATTTTTAGAGTCAGCCTCCTTGCGTATCGGGAGGCTGTAAAAGAGGCAAAAACTCAATTCTTGTCTAACACTATAGCAACAAAAAGTTTATCGTAACCCGAGAGTATTTTTTAAAACTATACATTATGTTGTTGATCCAGTTGGTGCAGTACCCACCGAGGGTTCGCCTGTTCTGTGCAACCAATTTCTAAGATATTTTAGGGATAAGGTTGGGGCTCTTAGGCATAATATGCCTAAGCCCCCAGCACATACTCAGCCTGGATCCCATGTTTTACATACTCTTAGTTCCTTCACTTCAATTTCTTTATGTCAATTAAAAGAGACCATAGCCCACTTAAAACCGGTCTCTTCGCCCCTTGACCCGCTTCCTGCCCGGTTTTCCAAGGAGGTTTTTGACGTTCTCGGTCCCTCCCTGGTCACGTTCATTAATCTCAGTCTGGATCCCTCTCTATTATTGTCTTTTCATCCAATTTCCCTTCTTCCTTTTTTGTCCAAAATTCGGGAAAAAATTGTATTCACCCAGTTGCAGTCACACTTAGATTGTGCAAATATTGCTGATAAGTTTCAATCAAACTTTAAGCCCCGCCACAGTACAGAATCAGTATTACTTAAGATTCATAGTGATATCACTATGGCTCTCGATACCAGATGTCCTGTGCTATTAATTCTGTTGGATCTATCTGCAGCTTTCAACACTTTTGATATCATTCTATTCTCTTGTCAAGACTTGAACATTTCAATGGGCTTAAAGGCACTGCCTTAAACTGGTTTTCTTCTTTTTTAACCGATCAAACATTTTCTGTGTGTCTCTAATATAGCTCCTCTCACTTCAGGCGTTCCTCAAGGTTCTACCCTGGCTCCATTGCTCTTCTCATTATATAGTGCACCCCTTGTGGCAATTATAGCTAGCCATAACATTCATTTCCACTTTTACGCTGATGATGTCCAGATTTACATGCCACTGCTCCTATCTGACTCCAGTGCTCTTACCTCGTTGCAAAATTGCATTCGGGATATTAGGCAATAACTTGCGCAAAATTTTCTGCATCTGAACAAGAGTAAGACCGAATACATTCTTTTTAGTTCTGACCCGCTGCCAGATGTAGTCAACCTCTGCACCTCAGTCTTCCCTCTATCTGACATGTTGAAAAACCTCGGAATAATCTTTGATTGTGGTTTTACTTTTGAGAAACAGATTAGGGCAGTGGTTAAGTCTTGTTTTTTTTTTCAGCTAAGACTCTTAACGAAGGTTAAACCTTTTTTGTGACATGGAGATCTGGAGAAGGCTATTCACACGTTTGTTACTTCATGGTTAGATTATTGCAATGCCTTGTATGTAGGAGTACCCCAGACTTTGCTTCAAAAATTACAATTGGTCCAAAATGCAGCAGCTCAGCTGCTATCCAATGCTCCCAGGTTTGCCCATATCTCCTCGATTCTTCGTGCACTTCATTGGCTTCCGATCCAATTTAGAATTAAATGTAAGATCCTATTGTTTGTTTTTAAGGCTATTCGTGGTCTCGCCCCATCCTACCTATCTGACCTGCTGTCAGTCTATGTGCCGCGTAGAGCTCTTCGCTCCACTGATAATTTGTCGCTGGCGGTGCCGCACTCCCACTACAAAAGATGGGGTGACCAATCTTTTTCTATCTACGGCCCCAGACTGTGGAATGCTCTTTCGGTAGAATTAAGGGCAGAAAGTGAGCTAGTGGCCTTTAAGTCGGCCTTAATAACTTACTTTTGTAAGCAGGCTCTTGAAACCTAACCTGTCTTACTGTTTAAATTTTAGTCATAGTTAGTATTTGTGTTTGCACCTACCTGTTTTTTGCTAGTGTTATTGTTTTGTGTGTTTTTACTGTACAGCACTCTGGTGCTCTTGGAGCTGGAGAGCACTATAGAAATAAAGTTTATTATTATTATTAAACTGTAATGACCTTGTTTTATTGTTAGTGGTGTATTTTACATGTTGCAGTTAAACCTATAATCTCAAATGAAGCCAAAATGAGGTTCACTGCAGGACAGATACATCAGTCTTCCACATGAGGCCAAAACTAATGCTGGAGTCCAGTTCACTAACTCAGTTTTTAACACAACTCATCATCCAGCGAAATGTTGCATTGGCCTGTCTCATAAATCAAATCAAATCAAATCAAATCAAATTTTATTTGTATAGCGCCAAATCACAACAAAAGTCATCTCAGGACACTTTACAAAGTAAGGTCTAGACCTTACTGTTATCAATATTATTACATAGGGAAAACCCAACAAATCCCCTCCGCATAAGTGCAAAGGAGCTGTCCTGTACAGCTTTGCAGTTGTATAATTTATATCACAACATCATGATGATGGAAATAAAATAATTGTCAGTTATAAGTTTGCATCATCGGTACAATAAATGTCAAAATCTCACATTCGTGAATCTGTTACCCAGACTGGATAACTCAGGTCATCAGAAATGAAACAAAGTCTTTTTGGTTTTAGAATTGAGTATGTCTTCAGCCTTTGTCATTAATCTACCAATCAGCACGCAGTATGACACCTGCTGCTCAGGTGTGTTCAGGTTCATTAATCACATTGAAAACCACAAACACAAGTCCCTGCAGTGTGGGACCAAATGTCACCAAGGAATGAATAATGGATGAATAAATGAAGCTTAACCCTCATTGAGAAATGATAAATTCCACTTGTTCTTTGAACGTTTCTAACAACTTTTTTCTGTCAACTGATAAACGTGTCTGTCAGAATTCACCTCCTGTATTACTGTGCAGAAAAAGTAGATGCAAATAGAAATACAAATTGGACATCACTCTGAGCCTGAGTAGAATCAACAGAATCAGTCTGTGTGATGACAGATTGTGGAAATCTGTAAACAAACTTTGAACTTTTTGACTTTGTGTGAATGAGCCAATAACAGAAAATACACACAGAGAAATATCTGTTCTACAGGTGATGGTCAGTAAACCTCAGAGTTTGACTCTACTGATTTTACAGGTTATGATTTTTACAGTTACATTCAGGAGAGTTATGTGTGTGTCTGAGTTCAGTAGAGTCTGATATACTACAAAAGAGCATGAAGTTTCTGACTGGCTGTTGGACTCACCTGGCTCTGCAAAGACGATGATCTCAGATGGTGGCTCAGGTGGTGTCAGGGCGCTGGTGCTGTGGCCCTCCTCCTCAATCTCCACACTGCCGTCTGCTGCCACACGGCCAACATGCAATTTCTTGATGGCGTTGAGCAGCGCTGCTCGAGGAACCGGCTGCATCAGGTTGGGTCGGGCGCTCAGGTGCAGCATGTTGAGAATGTGACGTTTCACTGCTTCCACCATGTCATTCTGTCCTGACAAAGATACATTCCTCCTCATCTGAGACAGAGAGCACGATGGACAGTTGGAGGGTGCCAGGTTTACCTCCGGAGCTGGAGAGGCCATTGGAGAGGCGTCGATGAGAAAACCAGTGGCCACGAAGAAGAACACAGGAAACAGAGATGGCATGATTGGCTCTGACTGACACCAAAGGTCTGTCAGTAGAGTCACAGTGTATCTGCAGGAGAGTAAGAACACTCAGCAGAATTGCAGCAGGTCCTGATGCAGAAACAGGCAGCAACAGCTCAGCAGGTTAATTCCTCACATTAGAGTCCGACTGAAGAGTCTGTATAACAGAGTCAGAAGAGCCTTCTTGATGTATGGTGAGGAGTGAGGGAATAAAACTGAAACAAAGACTTGAGTTAAAAATCCTCACAGAGTTCATAGAAAAGGCTGAGGCTCTGTTCCTCAGTCTGGTCCTTCATCTGGTCCAGCTTCAGGTGGTGCAATAATCTGGTCCTCAGTCTGGCCCGTAGTAGTTCGGATTGATGGATGTCTTGTCCTCAGTCTGATTTTTTTGTTCTGTTCCTGGTGGTTTAAGGCCTGATTAATGCTGCAGATATGAAGCACTGGTTCTCTGGACCTGGACTTCTTAGTGCACTGGTCCTTTCTGGGCCTGATGGTCCGGTGCTGTGAGCTGACTGTAGGAAGGGTCACTCTGCTCTCCCTCTCTGCTCTGTTACTGTAATTATACCTCTGTGCTGGGTTGATCCCTCCCTCTGTCCACAGAGGTATTTCCCTGTGAGTCTCTCTCTCTCTCACTCTCTCACACACACACACAGTGAGTAAAGTCTCAGAATATATCAGGACTGTTTGTGGTGTTTCCTCCTGAATGGACGTCACGACAGAAGAGGAGGAGGAAGGAGGGAAGAGGAGGAAGAGAGAGTGCCCCTGATTCATTCATACCACACACACACTGACTCAGCGCAGCATCATCATCACCTCACGTGGAGGAGAAACTCTGTTGGTGTCAAAATCATTTTTAGACTAAAAAGAGTTTGTTGTTATATTCAGAGCAGATGGAGCGTGCTCAGAACAGACCGTCTCACACACTGTGACATCATCAAGCACCCTTGTGGCAGGAGTTAGGCGTTACAGCCTCCTCACCTGAGACGTGTCGTCTGGTTCATCTTTTGTCTTCCTGTTTGTCCTGAAGTGGTTCCCAGTAACTAGAACTGGTTCAGCTAATGCAGTCATAATGCAGGGACCCCTGGGTCCCACACCTGTAGTAAACACAGGATCCGTTTGTAGTGAGGTATACTTAAAGCTAAAGCTCTGCCTCCGTCTGGTGGCTGCTTCTGGATGCTGCAGCAACTTCGGTCAATCAGCTACATTAAGGAACAATTCAAGGAAACTATCTGCTCCTCAGTTTAAAAATTCAAACCTGTGAAAGACACAGCTGCAGAAGAATCCAGTTTAATTAGGGGACAGCACATTTTATGCTGAAAGCACGTCACCCTTTTCATACATGATTTTTATACTGAAATGTAATAGACTAATACATTTCATACAGTGCCTTGCGAAAGTATTCGGCCCCCTTGAACTTTGCGACCTTTTGCCACATTTCAGGCTTCAAACATAAAGATATAAAACTGTAATTTTTTGTGAAGAATCAACAACAAGTGGGACACAATCATGAAGTGGAACAAAATTTATTGGATATTTCAAACTTTTCTAACAAATAAAAAACTGAAAAATTGGCCGTGCAAAATTATTCAGCCCCCTTAAGTTAATACTTTGTAGCGCCACCTTTTGCTGCGATTACAGCTGTAAGTCACTTGGGGTATGTCTCTATCAGTTTTGCACATCAAGAGACTGAAATTTTTGCCCATTCCGCCTTGCAAAACAGCTCGAGCTCAGTGAGGTTGGATAGAGAGCGTTTGTGAACAGCAGTTTTCAGTTCTTTCCACAGATTCTCGATTGGATTCAGGTCTGGACTTTGACTTGGCCATTCTAACACCTGGATATGTTTATTTGTGAACCATTCCATTGTAGATTTTGCTTTATGTTTTGGATCATTGTCTTGTTGGAAGACAAATCTCCATCCCAGTCTCAGGTCTTTTGCAGACTCCATCAGGTTTCCATCCAGAATGGTCCTGTATTTGGCTCCATCCATCTTCCCATCAATTTTAACCATCTTCCCTGTCCCTGCTGAAGAAAAGCAGCCCCAAACCATGATGCTGCCACCACCATGTTTGACAGTGGGGATGGTGTGTTCAGGGTGATGAGCTGTGTTGCTTTTACGCCAAACATAACGTTTTGCATTGTTGCCAAAAAGTTCGATTTTGGTTTCATCTGACCAGAGCACCTTCTTCCACATGTTTGGTGTGTCTCCCAGGTGGCTTGTGGCAAACTTTAAACGACACTTTTTATGGATATCTTTAAGAAATGGCTTTCTTCTTGCCACTCTTCCATAAAGGCCAGATTTGTGCAGTATACGACTGATTGTTGTCCTATGGACAGAGTCTCCCACCTCAGCTGTAGATCTCTGCAGTTCATCCAGAGTGATCATGGGCCTCTTGGCTGCATCTCTGATCAGTCTTCTCCTTGTATGAGCTGAAAGTTTAGAGGGACGGCCAGGTCTTGGTAGATTTGCAGTGGTCTGATACTCCTTCCATTTCAATATTATCACTTGCACAGTGCTCCTTGGGATGTTTAAAGCTTGGGAAATCTTTTTGTATCCAAATCCGGCTTTAAACTTCTCCACAACAGTATCTCGGACCTGCCTGGTGTGTTCCTTGTTCTTCATGATGCTCTCTGCGCTTTAAACAGACCTCTGAGACTATCACAGTGCAGGTGCATTTATACGGAGACTTGATTACACACAGGTGGATTCTATTTATCATCATTAGTCATTTAGGTCAACATTGGATCATTCAGAGATCCTCACTGAACTTCTGGAGAGAGTTTGCTGCACTGAAAGTAAAGGGGCTGAATAATTTTGCACGCCCAATTATTCAGTTTTTTATTTGTTAAAAAAGTTTGAAATATCCAATAAATTTCGTTCCACTTCATGATTGTGTCCCACTTGTTGTTGATTCTTCACAAAAAATTACAGTTTTATATCTTTATGTTTGAAGCCTGAAATGTGGCAAAAGGTCGCAAAGTTCAAGGGGGCCGAATACTTTCGCAAGGCACTGTATATGACTAATAAATTGTGTACACACAAACTGTCACTGAACATACATCTGACAATAAAATGTAATATTTCTATAATGTTTCACATTTTAATAAGTATATTTTATACATTTTTTCATTGTTTTAATAAATAAAAAAGAGTCCTGATTGTTCTGTCGGTTTCCAGGGATATAGCCAGGCACTCGAACTCAAATGGAAATGGTTGATATCCATAGATTCTTCTTCTACTGGGATCAGGACTCAGCCTTCACTGTGCCATACTTTGGGAATGATTGCCTTGTTACAAACCTCTCTCCTCAGCCTTCACAGTGCGTCTGTAGGGTCAGCCCTGAAACCCTTTGGCCATGGGGCCGGTGATGCTCCCCCACACTGTACTGCATTCTCCATCCTGATAGCCTTCTGGTGTTCTGGCTGTTCATTTGCTGGATGTCTGATGGAAGTGCTTTCTAATTATACTGTGTTGTATCTTTGTAAACAAGTTTTTGATTAGTTGCTTTATTGATCTTGTCATCAGCATGTGTTCTTTGCAGATGCTTCTCTAACTCCATTTCACTGTGTTCTACAGTTTCTTTAGTGGAAAGCGATTTTTGCAGCCAGGAGCTGCCTCTTTTTCCTTCCTTGCTCAGTATCACTCTGCTCCATAGTTATATGATGTCTGCCATCCTGTCAAGTTGTCTTTTGAACGTGGCCCCCTGGTCATTTCTGGGTTTACAGTCTCAACCCTAACCCTAACACCTAACCCTATTCTGCTTCTCAGTGGCTGCAAGCCATCTCACATAGGCAGATCGTCCTCTTGCTTACTTTATTTGTGATGGGATTTGCTCCATATTTTCCTCTCTGGATGAATGTCAAGGGGCCGATGTCCCGTGAAAGCTGTTGATACTCAGTCGCAGAATTTCAGTGACGTGTCCGATTTCTGACGAAGTGGTTATCACTGCTCTAACCCTCCTTACCCTTTGTCAGAAAAATTTGTGGTGAGCTTTAGAATAATTAGACTTGCCTTTAACTTATTTTTGTTTATTTATTATTTTATGTTTTCTCCATTTTTGCCTTTTAGTGAAGCCCTTTGTGACTCATGGTGTACTATAAATATATTTTACTTACAGATAAAATGAAATCAGCAGCACTTGACACCTTAGGCAAGGCAAGTTTATTTATATAGCATATTTTCATATAAGCAATTCAAATTGCTTAACACAATGCACATAACTGCATAAAAAATGTTAAGTTTACGCAATGTGCACAGAGCAATAAAACATTAAAATGCATCCATCCATCCATCCACTTTCCTCCACTTATCTGGAACCGGGTCACGGTTTTGCATACAATACTGAGATAAAACATTAGATTGCAAATTAGATAAAACGTGACAGTACAAGTAGCAACATGCATGAGTAAGTACCTAGTAAATTTAATAACTCACCAGTTAAATGATACAACTCATGGAGTTTCTGATATACAAATGCTAAGCTATTCAGCTTAAATATAGACCTAGTATCAATCGAAGCTAGAATTTACAGCATCCAGTAAATAGGTCGATATGAACTAAACACTAACTTGACAGTTAGTGTTTTTAAAGAGAAATAAGTACTAATTGCTTAAAATATTTGCTGATTGATATTTTCATCACAAACTGGTGGGTCTGTTTTAATTTATCTATAGATGTATTATTTTTGTTGTTGCTGGGGTTTTATTGGGTTTAAATACCTGGCAGGTTTGTTGTAGGCCTACTCATTGTCACTTGACTGTCAGCATACAAACATCACATTATTTAAAATCAATGTGCAAAATTCTTATGATCTTATCAGATCCAGTCTAAAGTTCCTTTTGAAAATGGATTTTAACTGTTTGTTTTACACTACATTATTACATTAATTTGGTAAATTCTATAATGTAAAATTGTTGTCACACTGTCATTTTGGAAAATCACGCTCATTGTCTTTCACACAGATATACACTACGTACATCTAGAAGTTAATAAAAAAAAAACAACTATCCCATACAGCTCCATAAGGTAGTGGATGCTTCAGCTATGTCCAAACGTCCACTTTAGTGTTCGGTTTGAGAACAGACAGGACAGAAACTGATTCATCTGCAGTGTCTGGGTTATCTGCTGACAGCTCCTGAACAGAGAGCTGAGATCAGGGTGCTGTCATTTTTCAGGCTGTCGCTCTCATAGACGGGGTCTCTAGGTCTGCTACGATTTAGCTAAGCCTATCCATTCTGAATCACCACAGTCAGTAAAGTGAGATCTAAATGAGTTCAGCAACTTTGAAAATGACATAACTTCACATTCTCTGTTGTTCAAAGCAACGTAAATAAGTGCATTAAAATTATGTAGGAGAAAAACGTATATAACATCCAAAACGAGGAGGGTATCAGTTTTCAACAACTGATTAAAACCATGTTCAGTGCAAACTCTTACAGGTCCTTTTTGTTTTAAAAAGGTTCTGCAGCTGATTCCTTAGAAAAGCAAAAACAAATCAACAAAGAAACAAATTTCACAAATGAAGAAACATCCCTGTTTAAGGGAATTTGTGCTGCCATCCATCACTTCCTGTTTACTGGACATTTGAGTCAAAAAAGTGCACTCAGAAATAAGACGTATATAATCTGCTCCACCTGCACACCGCCACCTTCAGCCTCCGGAGACAAGATTAAATGGCGAGACACTAAAAATACCCACGGTGAGACATACATGACGACTTTATCTTTATCACCTTTATAGAATCTCTAACGCTACATTTACATTTCCACATTTGCACTGGCATTGGCCTAAATATAATACTATCGTTCACTGTTTATGTTATTAAAAGAGAAAACAAAAGCGGGACTGAAATCACCCAATCAGCTGACTGTCGCTTTAACCCCCCCCCCACACACACACACACACACACGCACACGCGCGCACACTTCCTCCTGTCTGTCGCTGGTAATCCGCCTCTTTGCGGTCACCATGGCGGAAATCAAAACGGGAATATTCGCTAAAAACGTGCAGAAAAGGCTGAACCGAGCGCAGGAGAAGGTAAGAGATGAGACTGAGGATGATGCTGCTGGGATGATGATGATGAAGGGATGAAGACGGCGGGTGGAAGTTAGCTGGAGGAAGACACGGAGATAAATGAGTAGCTGGAGGTAGCAGGCCTGTGCAGCTTTGCTCTCTGACATCACTGGTCTTTTCAGATATTATCAGATGATAGTGGTGAACAGATAAGATATTGATCCGCGCGTCAGGGCGTGTCTGATCATGTCTGTTAATATAAACTGGAAAATCACCAGAACTACACAGAGAGTTTTAATTGGCTGAAGCAGGCGACAGTGCTTTAACAACGACTGTAACACTTCGTGGTGACGTCACACCAGCTGGGAAAGACGTCACACACTAATTTTATGTTTTAGATAAATGACAGGAGGTGTTTTCCGCTCCAAGGTTGGGGGTTGGAGTGATCAGTTTGGGGAGAGGGTCGGTGGTGTGATGACGTAATTTCTGACGCATTATGAGCTACCAGCCTGTTCTTTATAGGGAAGGGTTGCTGATAGCTGGTACCGAAACATTAATCAGTTTAAAACTGCTCATTTCAGATCACTCAGTAGCTACATCTATAGACAAACACTACAGACAGTGTGTTGATACAGTGTAGCTATATATAGCCTACTTTATAGTGTATTGTGCATTGTCAATATATTTGTGGTGCTGGCCCACATCCAGAGCAGTATACCGGACACCGTGGACTCCCTGCAGTATGCCTACCGGCCCAACAGAGCCACCTCTGATGCTATTGCTGCTGCACTTCACTATTCCCTTTCTCGCCTGGAAAATGGTGACTCTTAAATCAGGATACTCTTCACTGATTACAGCTCCGCCTTCAACACAGTTGTCCCCCACAAACTCACCCACAAACTGTCCACACTGGGTCTGCACCCCACCCTCTGTGACTGGCTCCTGGACTTTCTGACTGGCAGGCCCCAGACTGTCAGGATTGGCAATAGGACTTCAGCCAGCATTGTTACAAACACTGGCACCCCACAGGGATGTGTCCTCAGTCCCATCCTCTACACCCTGTTCACCCACGATTGTGTCACCTCCCACAAAGACAACATCATCCTGAAGTTTGCGGATGACACCCCAGTGATAGGTCGCATCACTGGCGGGGACGAAGCAGCTAATAGGAGGGAGCTGGCTGGTCTGGTGTCATGGTGCAAGGACAATAATCTCAGCCTCAACACGGACAAGACGAAGGAGATGACAGTGGACATGAGGAAGGAGAGGAGATCTCATCGGCCACTGTTCATCCGGGGGCTCGAGGTGGAGAGGGTGAGCAGCTTCAAAGACCTGGGTGTCCACATCATTGAGGACCTCACCTGGACATTTGGACACCACACAGCTTGTCAAAATTCTGTGCCTGCATAATATAATATTACACATCCCTAAAGTAACATGAGCTGCCTCAGGTCAGCAGCACACAAGCTATTTTACTAGGCTGCTCTGTTCACAGTTCTACAGGTGTGTGATGTGACGTGTGTGTTCTGTTCTGTTCATGTTCAAGTTCACGTTCTGTTGCTTTTTATGCCATATTTGAACATTTAAAATAAACCCTTTCTGAAAAAAGTATTTTTTAAAATTAGTCACAGAAACTCATCCATTACAAATAACCTAGCATTCAGTTTTGTTGGTTAATGGTTGGTTAACCAGCATTGGCTATTGTTCAGAAAAAAATAGAAAATGTGCATCCCTAATCTCAACAGTTATAAATCTGTGTGCTATTTTTTTTCTCAGGTGCTGCAGAAGCTGGGAAAAGCAGACGAGACCAAAGATGAGCAGTTTGAACAAGTTGTTACTAACTTCAGGAGTCAAGAGGTGAGCTACTTTCACAGACCAGATCACAGCAAGCTTCAGCTGGATACCAGCTAATAAATTTGCTAAGACAAAAACTAGACAGCAGTGTTTAGTACTGTTGTCTCACAGCAAGAAGGCTCTGGGTTCAAGTCCCGGCCGACCCGGGGCCTTTCTGTGTGGAGTCTGCAAGTTTTTCCTGTGTCTGCATGGGTTCTCTCCGGGTACTCTGGCTTCCTCCCACAGTCCAAAGACATGCAGCTTAGGTTGACTGGTGACTTTAAATTGCCCATAGTAGTAAGTGTGTGCAGTTGTTGGTCTCTCAGCCCTGTGACAGAGTGACAACCTGTCCAGGGTGGACACCGCCTCTCACTGAGTGTCAGCTGGGATTGGCTCCAGCCCCCTGTGACCCTGATCAGGAACCACAAATCAAAAAAAGTTGGGACAGTATGTAAAATCAAAATTAAATCTGAAAACAGTGATGTGTAAATCATCTATGACCTGTATCACATTGACAAAGGTAGAGCAGCATATTCTCTGATGTGACACCTCATCAGCTTTATTCTGTGTTCATAATAAACACTTACTTCAATCCTGATGCTGCAGCACGTTCCAAACAAAGTTGGGACAGTGAAGCGTTTACCATGTTGTGAAGCTGCCGTTACTCTTCACAACACTTAAGACATTTAGGGACTGAGGACACTAAGTGATTCAGTGTCAGGTGTCATTTTGTCCCATTCTTCCTGCAGACAAGTCTTAATGTGCACACAGTCCTGGGTCTTTGTTGACATAATCTGTGTTTCAAAATGCGCTACCCATTCTCTACTGTGTACGGGTCAGGACTGCAGGCAGGCCGGTCCAGCAGTCGCCCCCTCTTCCTCCACAGCCAGGCCTTGGTAATGTGGCAGTAGGAGGTTTACATTGCCTTGTTGAAATAAGCATGGGCGTCCCTGGAAAAGTCACCCAGATGCCTCCTAGCCCAGAGCAGGTGACTTCTGGACACTGTTGACATGGCTTCCTTTTGGCACAGTCCCGTTTTAAGCAGCATTTATGGATGTAACTATGTATTGTAGTGGCTGACACAGGTGAGCCAAAGTCATCCTGAGCCCATGTGGTTATATCGCTGATAGAAGAGTGACGATTCTTGATGCAGTGGCGTCTGAGGGATCAGAGAGCTCTGTCATCCAGCTCAGGCTCGGCCCTCGGCCTTTATGCACTGAAATCCCTCCAGACTCCTTGAATCTTTTAATGATGTTCTGCACTGTGGAGGGTGACGGATCCAAATCCCCCCTAATTTTCTTTGAGGAACATTGTTTTTAAACATTTCAATGATTTTCTCACACAGAGTTGCAATCAGAAATATTCAACCCCCTTATCTCAAAAGACATTATAGTGATGTTAAAGAAAGATAATGAAAATAAATGCAAAACAACCTCTGAAATAACAAAAATATTTATTGATACATATCTGAGTTATTTTGACAACAGAAGTTGACTTCACTTTGAAGTTGTAACTCTTGTAACACATGAGCATGTGCAGTATTATTCAACCCCCAGCTTCAGTACCTTGTGGAGCATCCTTTAGTTTTTATAACTTCTAACAAACGCTTTTGATAAGTGCTGACAAGCTTCTTGGAATCTTTGCCCATTCTTCACGTGCAAAAGCCTCTAGCTCAGTGATGTTTGACGGCTTCCGTGCTGCAACTGCCTTCTTCAAATCCCACCAAAGATTTTCAATTGGATTTAAATCTGGTGACTGAGAAGGCCACTCCAGGACGCTCCAGCATCTTTTCCCCAACCAAGCTTTGGTTGACTTGGAGGTGCGCTTGGGATCATTGTCATGTTGGAAGATCCAATGATCACCGAGGTTTAATTTGTCAACAGAAGGCATCACTTTCTTCTTTAAAATGACCTGGTATTTCTGGGAATCCATGATGCCAGGTACACAATCAAGATTGCCAGTTACTGCTGCAGAAAAACAGCCCCAAATCATCAATGACCCACCTCCGTGCTTGACTGTGGGGATGGTATTCTACAACCAAGCTTTGGTTGACTTGGAGGTGCGCTTGGGATCATTGTCATGTTGGAAGATCCAATGATCACCGAGGTTTAATTTGTCAACAGAAGGCATCACTTTCTTCTTTAAAATGACCTGGTATTTCTGGGAATCCATGATGCCAGGTACACAATCAAGATTGCCAGTTCCTGCTGCAGAAAAACAGCCCCACATCATCAATGACCCACCTCCGTGCTTGACCATGGGGATGGTATTCTTTTGGTCATAAGCCTGGCCTTTTGCACGCCAGACATACCACTGGTCCATATGTCTAAAAAGTTCCAGTTTGGATATGTCCAAAAAGTTCCAGTTTGGTTTCATCAGTCCATAGAACTGTCTCCCAGAACTCTGTAGTCTTATCCAAATTCCTCCTGGCATATTCTAGTCGACTGTTGATGTTCCTTGTGGACAAGAGTGGAGTGCGTCTTGGGGTCCGGCCATGAAGTCCTTGTTTATTCAGTGCACATCTTATAGTTGCCACTGAAGCACTTGTACCAGCCTTCATCATGTCATCCTGTAGCTGTCTTGCAGTCACACGGGGGGTTTTCTTAGCTGTCCTGACTAAGTTGCTAAGGGCCCTTGATGAAATTGTGGGCTTTCTTCCACGGCCAGGCAGGTTTACAGCTGTTCCAAAGTTTTAAACTTCCTTATAATGCTCCCAATAGTGTCTCTTGGAATGTTAAATCTTTTGGAAATCTTCTTATACCCAAGGTCCTTCAGATGTGATGAAATAATCTCCTCTCTCAGCTTTTGTGGAAGCTCCTTTGTCTTTCCCATGATTGCAACTCACTTTGAAAACCTTCATGGTCGGGGTTTATATATGCATCACAGCTGAAGCAAATGAAGGATTGTTCCCAAAGGCTTAATGATGTTTCAGCTCCACTTTAGGCCATAAAAACGGTCAGAAAGCTTTAAAAACAACATTATATAGGGGTTGAATAATTGTGACATGGCTATCTTAACAAAATATACTGTTACACACAAATACTACATCATACATTTTCTGTGTTGATTTTATGTATCACTCAACTCATAAAGACGTCATCCAAAGCAGAATCCTGCACTTTGAAAAGATTTTTATTCATAAATCCTTACAAATCTTTGGGGGTTGAATATTTCTGAGTGCAACTGTATATATATATTGTTAAGATGTTAATTATTGAATACGCCTTTACTCATTGTAAGAAACATGCTTTTGTTTTGAAGGACATTATTGTACATCCGGGGTATGTAAGAGAGTAAGAGAGTGTGAGGATCTTTTCTTGAGAGATGGAGCATAGAAGAGAGCTCTTACTATTATTTTTCTATTGACTGATGCCAGTTCAGAGCCCCATGTTATGTTGTATGTTTGTTGTAACAAAATAAACACGCCGGATATATAATCATTTTGCGGGCCGGATGTGGCCCGCGGGCCTTGAGTTAGACACATGTGATCCCGGGTAACTATATGGCTGACTTATAGTACATTCATACAACTTTACTTACTAGTTGCTTTTCAGTACCTGTTT